CCTCAGATTGTGAGTCGAGCGTCTTATCCACCTGGCCATGCCGGGCCCTATTATAAATGCCATTTATTCCTAAGACAAAGACTGAGCATAGAACTTTTTTTTTTTAAGAAACTGAAAAAGCGCACTTTTTGTGGTTGGAGAGTTTTAGTTATAAGGTTGGATAAAACAACCTCCAGATGAAGTAAAATGGCTCCCATCTAATTCATAACAGCTGTAAGTTAAAATAAATGTTGCATTTAGCAACTGTATTTACATTATGTAAAACATAATTTAAATGATCTTAACAGGAATCGGGAAGGCCGTGTGTCATGCGTAAATTGTCCATTATTTAAAACAATGACGCAAAAAAAACGTGAACATTCAGCCATTCATCGTAGGGCAATCGCAAGAAAATCAATGAGGTTGAACTATATTTCTTCTGTGACATAGCAGTATGTTTGCGGACTTACAACGCTAAAAACCTGGTTTCGATACCCGCAGTGGGCAGAGCACAGATAGCCTATTGTGTGGCTTTGTGCTTAAATACAAACAAAAGAAGCAAATTCATCTGTCTATAATTCCTCATTGTTTGAAATCAACAAAGTCAAATTATATGAAATATCTACTTTGTAAACATAAAAAAATTAATGTGCCCGCTTTAGATTATAGTTATTCAAAACCAAACAAATAAAAAAATAAATACATGAAGTCGCTCTTTGATCATTCACATTCGCGCCTATAAACCCATGTAGTTATGCACCGAGTAATGTAAACAATAGTTACGTACAATTCACTCTAGATGGCAGGACGTCATAACAGATGACATACAGGGAAGAACGGGTGGTTGGTGAGGGGGTAGCTGTTTTCCCGAATGGGGACGTCATACCTAACTTTCTCCTATCTATTAACAATAAGCGCAACTAAATTATTTTCAATTTCTAACAAATAGTTTGTTTCAGAAACTTAGGCAAAACTACACGCTAAATGAAGCCTACATGCACATAGCAGTTCCTAATTTTGAAGGGAGCTAGTCAACAGGACGTACCGACAACTCGTGGGTTTCTATTGTCTAAGCAATCGTGGGGTAGTAGTGTAATTCTTATAGTGCCCCCCCCCATTCTTATAGTGTTTAATTTTCCCAATTTTATTTCATTTGTAGGCTATCTACTTACATTTTTCATAATAGATGACGATCTTTCACGCAGCCATACGATCCCGAGGTGTCTGTGAAATGATCAGACTTTTTTATACCAGATTTTCACAAAATATTTCTAAGACAAAATACCTTTAACTGATAAACCTTGCATGATAAAATGTTAGTGATTCGCATTCTTACCAAAAAGAATGAAGTAAAAAGTTATGCCCCATATAGTTATTTTTGTATCCAACAAATTAACAAATAATAAATGGTCAGAAAGTTTTTTCTTTTTTTTTTTAACTATAACTGTACATTATTTGGTTGCATGAAAGATCATGGCAACCACATTTGTAAGTCAAAATGTAACAGGTTATTCAAATAAATGAATGTTTGTGTTTTTTGATAAAACTCAAATGAACGTCTACAGAAAAATATTTATTAGATTATTTCAGTAAGTACAACGTAATATTTTTATTAATTTCATTAAAATAATAACGTATGTCCTACATTAAAACTCGTAACTTCCAACGTGAATGGAATGTATAATTTTTCATATAATTACATTGTTACATTTCGGTTCATCACGAACCTCTTTATGCATTGAAGCGATTTGTTGAGGTTCAAGTTGCCTAGGTAACGCACGTGTTCCGAAACCGGAATTAAAATTTCTAAACGCTAACGCCACCCAACTCGTACTTCATCCTAAAGTCCTTCTAGACTGCATCAAGTCGTAAACTATTTAATTTCAGCACAATGTTATCGCTGGGCAGACAATGAATTCTGTGTAAATTTATAAGTTAAAAGCTATTTCCGAAAATTGTGCATAACGACAAAATTTTAAAATAACGAAACAATTTTTACATATCCGAACTTATTCTGAAAGAGCACAAAATTTTGGTTTATCATAAATCAAACACTAAGAATCATGGAGTTCGCATTTCCTACTTCTTTCCCGTTAGAGAAAAAGGTTCTTACAAAGTGGAAGCATTTACTAGACGAAAAAAAGTTTAAAGCACTGCAGGTAAGTTAGAAAATATTAGCTTGGGACAATATATCAACATAACAAAATATAATTATTATAAACTCAAATGTTTATAGGCCAATGGAATATTTAAACAGAAACCCAAATTTAAGACGTAAACGTAAAATGCTGATTTTCTTCCTAATTGAAAGTTTTTGTATTGGGACATATAATTTTCACAGAAGATTGTGCAATATCTCTGGTGGCTTTGTTGTTCTTTTGCAGCATCGTGTTTAAAAAATAAAGCAACAACAAAAGCCATCTAGACTTAACAATGAAGCCTTTATGAGAGGCAGAGAAAAAAAGAGCATAAAATAAATCATGTTTGTGTATTTTTTGGTAGAGTAAACATTTTGTCTTACCTTGGATTTTTAGTGGTGCCATTTTACCATTATTAATTGTCTTTTTTCATTGCGCCTTTTATTCACACTTTGTACATTACTCGGAATATTTAATACCATATATCTCAGTACATAGGCCGAAATGTTATCCATTATGAAATTCCAGAAAAATATAGTTCGTGGAAGACTCGCGGACGCTAGTAACTGAAAACTCTTTCGATGCAAAATAGTAAATGAATTTGTTTAGTGTATCGTTTCAGTGAATGTTGTTTTTGGACTTAAGAGCACTTTTGATATTTTAATACCATAATACCCGATTTTTTCACACCTTTCTTCGGAATCATCGTCTGTTTTGAGGCTCCAATGCATGTAGGCGCAAATGTGTTTTATGGATGATGCAGTAGTGTGTAATATCACATCAGCAGCATTAGAGGCTGTCTGAGTATTGCATTAGCGGTTCTGACTGAGAGTCAGTTTAGAAGCCTACCTGCTACAACACCGTGTGATGTACCATGGCCAAGGGTTGCGAGTTAGCTCCACAAAAACAACAACAAAAAATAGTCATTGCTTTCGATAGAAAATTTAAATTCAAGCAGTCTACTGTGCATAGATTTAAAGAGACTGTCTGGGTAGAGGGGCGGAAAGGGAAGGGTAGGAAGAATGTTTTCACAGCAGCTGCTCTAAGACGCATGAGCCGGCCAAATTGTTGACTGTCTGCCGTCCACAGATCTCACAAGAGCATGGCAGGAAAGATTCAGGGGTCACTTACACTGTGGGCACTGTCTCATTTCGCCTGTGATAAGCTGGTCCTCCAGCAAGACGGCCAAAAAAGAAACTCCTTCTCACAACAAGATAAAGAAGATGAGGTTTAATTGGGTCAAAAAGCATGCTGACTGGACTAAAGTAATGTGGAGCAAAGTGATCCTCTAAGACGAATCAAAATTCAACCTACACGGGTCTTATAGGAAGCACTTTGTATGACATCGATGTGGAAAAAGAGTTTCATTCAGCGTGTTTGAATGTAACTGTGAAACATCCGCAGGGTCAGGTGATATACGGATTCATCTCTGGCCAGGTTGTGGGACGCCTACATTTTGTGAAATGCACTGTTAATGCCGACAAGTATATGGGTTAAAGTTAACAATTCGGGATCACTTTAATATATCTGACCAGTGCACAATCCAGGATGACTCTACTCCATGCCACAGGGCTGAAAAGATTGGTAATATTCATGCATTATATGCAGTATACATGAAATAAAGAGGAGATTTCACTCTACATGTATTGAAAATACATCTTAGGTTTTATCTTCGGACTATCTTCGAAAGGAGAGGATCAAGACACCACACTGGCTATTGAATTCTGCTGGAAGGTAATGTGTAACAAAGTGCAAGAGAAGAAACGAAGAAACACCTTGGAAATGCGGGAATTCCGTTCGCGTGTGGCATCATGAACTCGCCTCCGCCTACATTCTTGTGCACTTTATGCCAAGGCGATATCAAGCAGTTATTAGGACAGAGAAGTCACAACCAAATATCAAAACAAACAACTGACCTTGTGACCATTTTTTATCAATTACATTAGTGGCGTTATCTTCATATATATATATATATACTTTCTTGCTCAAAAAATGTGTTCGTATTTGCCATGTATTTGCTGATCATCTGCTTTAATACGCATTTCATAGTTGTTTTGTTAATAAAGATGCATACAAGTGTTTGGATGACTGAAATATGAGCCAGCTTATACCACACAATGTCCATAACTATTTTACATTAGTTATAACACTAATAGAAGGCACAATATCATAAAAAATCACAGGAACCGGGAAAAGTGTGAAAACATTGGGTGATGCAATAATTTTTTTGTCCACAGCTGTAATTACCAGTATATTATTATGACCAACCATGTTCAATTTCAGTGAAGGCTTAGCATTAATGTAAAACGATCTGGTAACAAAATAATTAATGTATGTTTATAAGTGTATAAATAATTCATTGCTACATTGAGGTGTGGCACTTAACTTGCTATTAAACTAAGTATCTTCTACTTTCTTGTATAGCGCTAGTCGCATATTCATTCTTGTGTTATACTACGATTGATCAACACTATATATTGAATTATAGGTCTGAACAAAACACGTTTTGATCGGTACGTAAGTTTTTATTATATTATTTGTTGGTTTGTTTTATTGAATTTTTCACAAAGCTATTCGAGGGCTATCTGTCCCTAATTTGCAAGTGACTAGAGGGTAAGCAATTAATCAACACAGCCAACTCTTTACCAACGCCACTGCTAAAAGAGCAGGCGACGAGTTACGATTCAGTGACTCGCAGTTTCCGACTCAAGCGCCACATAATCACCACGCCATGTGTCAAGCCTATTTGTGGAACAAGTTACCTTTGCTGCATTATTCTTGCTTCGCGTTGAAAAACATAATATTGTTACTACTTTTTAAATTGCAACTTAATAAAGTTGACGGAACGATAAATACTATGCTGTATCGAAAGTATATCTTTTTTTATTATAGTTCTGAAAAATTAATATTATAGGAGTTTTATTACAGAAAAACTACTTTTCAAAGTAGGGTCGAACGTGGTCAGGATTAACGAGTCGAACTGTGGATGGGAGAATCGATGGCTCGCGTTCCATTGTCGTAAAAAAAGGGCAACAAATCAGTCTCCTCACACTTTGTGTTATATGAGTGACGGTAAAATACACTATTTGATTAGGTTAGCTGAAGAGTTGGCGGTGGGTGCTGTTGACTAGATGCTTTCTTTCCAATATCTATCAGTTCAAAAGTAGGGACGATTAACGCTTATAACCTTGTTTAGCGTTGCACGAGCATCCGAAACAGACAAAACACTTTTAGAAATGAAAAAATATAAAAAAACGTAGGATGTTATACGTTTGTTTGTTTGGAATTAAGCACGAAGCTACACAATGGGCTATCTGTGCTCTGCCCACCACGAGTATCGAAACCCAGTTTCTAGCGTTGTAAGTCCGCAGACATACCGCTGTGCCACTGGGGAAAGGGCATGTTATACGATAGAAAAAAAAATAACCCTACAAATAAATGGAGGTTTTAAACACGTTTGAAGATAGCATGTTATAAAAACAAATTACTGTAAAAACTAGCTTGTTGAAATCAATACGTTTCAGCATAGACTTAAGCGAGGTTACCCTAGAAAAAGGAAGAAGTACTAATGATGTAAAATTTGTGGCTCTTCCTCCTTAAATAAAGATGAAATTTACTAAGTTTAAGAGTAATTTCGTAATTTAATTATTTCAGGAAAGCTCCTTTATAGATTCCTTTCCTCCTGTAGACCAAGCCTTTGAGGAGGAACGTGACTTACAGGTAGTGTAATGTTTATGTTTAATTACTAGCATGAAAATTAATATTAGACGATTGGCGGAGAAAGTTTTTGAATATTGATATATTATAAATAACAATCAGATTTTGCTATACTGCTTGAAACAGATTGTTGCTGTTGCAAATAACATAATGATACATTATTGGTAATGAATACAATTAGAGAATCATTAGTTGTAAACATAAGATAGATAAGATAAATGAAAAAAGGGCTAAGTTAAAAATTACGCGTAAGTAAAGTTTCTATTATGTTTTTAAACGTAAATTATAGTTTTTTTTGTTTTTAATTATGCACAAAGCTACACAAGGGCTATCTGTGCTCTGCCCACCACGGGTATCGAAACCCGGTTTCTAGCGTTGTAAGTCCGCAGACATACCACTGTGCCACTGGGGGGCCGTAAATTATATATGTTTGAAATTTTATACAGCTTTTATTTCATTCATTGTTGGGCAATCGGGGCAAATGGTTAATAAGGGTTGAAACATGGTAAGGTTTGAGCATTTAAGCTTGGTGATTTAATTGTTTCTGGGTGATAAGGATGAATTTATAACATGCAATCGGAAAAAGTTAGTCATATTCATGTCACTGAACGGACCCTGTTATGTTCAGTAGGTGGTTTAAAGTTATATTTATTACATGTCTGGTTTATTTTCATTGTGATGCGTGTAAATGTATTGGTTCTGCTAAACAAATAGTTTATCGTTTATTCCGCACAGTTTAGAATATTTGACTCTTGTCTCAGTTGCCACATTTTGATTGCAACTATAATTTATACAATTTTTTGAATGCACAGCCAATTCCAGAAAACTACAGCTGTGATTTGGATGTTAGAAAACAGCAAATAGAAAATGTTCACAAGCGGTGGATGATGGAATTACAGCCAATAGAGCAGCAGAGTTATCTTGACGACCCTACCAGTCGTCAGGCAAGAAAGCAGAGTTTCCAAAATTATGTTGACTCTTTTAACAAAAAAGTGAGACTTACAAGGGTTCAACACCTTACCAAGAGTTTAAGTTACAGTTCCTAAAAGGATTACACCGTTTCATATTCTAGAAAAAAAAAAACTCAGAATTTTTTAGAGAGTAGAAGCACCTTTGTCATTATGAATGTAGTGAATTATAAAATTAAAAGAATTATTTGATTATAATGATTTATTTTCTATTACTCATTCGACTACCTACAGTTTTTACTAATACCACATGGTTTTATCTTTTGATGAAAAATGAATTAATAAATGTATTATAATAATAATCTTTATGTACTATTTAACTGAAATTAGGTGATCTGTGATTGTATTGATATATTATAAAGTTAAAGATTTTAGAGTTAAGATGCCGGAAATTCATGGTTGTAACAATAATATGGTTAAGTCTTTTAAACCTCTAGTTTAATAGACTGTGATTATTTACAGAAACAAACATCAGTTTGATTTAACTTATTTGTATTCTTGTAGAAATTTGATATACCTAGTTTTATTCAAGCGCATTACCCAGATATACTATCTCTGAATTAATAATTTTCATGCGTTTATTGAACACTTATTCAAATTACCCAATAGTGCTTTTAGTTATTTTCAGCTTCACAACGTTTCAGCTGTAGGATGCTAAAGTTTATGTATATATATATATATATACGAAGTGAACGATATAATTGAACTTGAAAATTAAATTGTATTCTTTTTTTGATTGTATTCTTCCAAACCAAATCACGTAACACATAAATAAACATATTTCAGAAAATAGCAAACCAGTCGATAGAAATACATTTCAGTCTGTCTCTACATAAACCTGTTGTCATTAAGTTTCTTTTTCTTGCTTTGTCTAAAATAATGTATATATAATATGTATATATATATATTGTGCTTTGAAAAATGACGAATTCAGAAAAACTAAAATACTTGAAAACAGATACTTGAATAATGTCGGTATTGTTATTTTGAAAAGATTAATTAAATAAATGCCTTGTTTTAGCGCTATTTATCAGTCGATTCTGGCCTTAACGAAGAACACCAGCCTCATGCTCTCCCAGAGAACCATAAAGAACAAATGGTATGAGCACATTGTCATTAAAAGTATTTTTTGTTTGTAACATGTTTTATAAAATATTATATGTGCAAACATTTATTTTAACAAATTAAGGAAATATATCTTTTAAGCCGTCATTCTCAAGCAATATAAGCATAGGGAAGGGAAAAGGCAAAGAAACGGCATAAACGTCTTGTATTCCATTAAAATACACTTCTGTCTGGTTTAGATACACACTTTGCATTAAACAGAAATATAAGGGTATTAATACATGATTTGTTGAATTAGGTATTCTATTTCTTATAGCTCATCAGTTACTGTATAATATTTTGTAAATATAACAAAACCTTAACCCTCAAATGAGTGACTGTGTTGATATTGTTTTTTCCGGTGAAGTTTGCATATTGAGTAATTATATCTTTATTTAAATGTTTGTGAGTGACTTAAATGTTATTAGAAACCCTGTAACTAGCAAAGTCACGGATACACAAGCATTTTGATTCATAGATAACTTAGAAAAATGTGTTTAAAAAGCCTATGAGATACGGATCCCAACGGCATTTCTAGGGTTAAGAAGATTATGGGAACATTATTGTATTTTTTTTATATTATTACAAGCTGAAGTACCCGTCCTTTGTCCGGTGGATGCTATGATAAATAACACAGAGATCCTAACTTTCACACAATTTATTTATAACGTATTATTACAGTATCCACTGTGCGATGGTCAGGGTGACTATATAGGAAGACGTAGCGACCAAAGTAATGGCGGCATGGGTGCTTTCTGTTACTCGCTTTCAACACCCAGCACTTAATGTCCGTCCACACTGTTTCGCGTTATTGATTAATTGACGGTCATTGGCCGTAGAAGTGTGTTACAGGCCGAAATTGAAAGGTCATGGGTATAACTCAAGAAATGACTCTTCATATCAGCCTTATGAAGGCTGTTAGAGTAGAAACTCTAGATGAGTTTATGTAGTATTACAATAGTAGCGGCCATATTTTTTCATTGCATTCCTTCACAGAGTCTTTAAGATATATAAGACGTTTGTTGCCCTCCACCCACACTGTGTGTATTTGTTATCTCATAGAACATTTAATAGTTTTGTTTTTGGTGTAAGGACGTGGCGCCATCTATTAATGTAGTTAACGTTAACTTACGTCAAAGGTAATAAATGCTCAATAAGAACAATAGTGGGTGGAGAAGGTTACAAGCTCTCCACTAACATGCCTCTTGTACCAAACCATTATCCCACAATGTTTGGTTAAGATTGGCCAAGCGACCTAGGAATAGTTAGATAACGGACAAACAGACAAACATGCGGATTTTTCTGATTTAGATAGGTAGATTAATAATATAATATAATATAATATATATATATATGAAAATTTAAATTATTTCTCATTGAAGAAAACACATCTTTCGTTATTTTTATTACTTTAGTGGGATTTATATTTTATGCTTATTATTTTAATAGCTTGCATCCAAGTCAATGGAAACAATTTCAAATTCCGATAGAGAGCCTTTGAAATTACCACCTATTAACCAACGGTTTCCTGGACCAATCTACGTTGATGTCGGTGCAGGCCCTTTGAACTACTGGCAAACAGCAGCAACCGATAACTTTATAGACAGTGAGCTTCGCAGGCGAACAAGGTAACAAGTCTAGTAATTTATTCTAAAGAAATTAAGCGCTGAAGAAAATCACTTGCTCTATTTATCCAATAATATGATAATTCATAATGTTTACCCCTGGTCATGTAAACTGTTCTTACATTATTAATTATTTAGTATATTTGTTAGGACTTTATTAGGACGTTTGTAAAGTATCCTATTTAGTTTTAGATGCAAAATAAGTTGATCATATAATGTATCAAGTGATTCCTTGAGCTCTTTAAGTGCATACGTGTAATTATATTCTAGTAAGCATGAAAGATAACAGGTAAGAGCAAGGACATTTCCAACTTTTAAGGGGGACATGATAGTAAAATTAGGTATTCAACTAGCTGAAGCGTTGTTATAAAATACCTGCTTCTTTGACCAGCTGTTTAAAACACTGTGATCACGATCTATTACCAGTGACAATGTTAAAAATCAAGCACAGTTTCAGTGTTGCTAAGAGTGTAAAGTGTTTACAGTGAATGAATGGAAACATTTGGTGAGTCATGTTTTGTCCATTTCTGCATTGACAGTATAGCAAAATTAGGATAAGACTATATTAAGGATTTCAATCTTGTATCTATTGTCCCGACAGCTGGATTTGATGACAAAGTGCACGGAACATTCTTGTGGTAGGGCTTGGTGCCATACGAAAAGTAAATAACATCTAAATTGTACCAAAACATTATTATATATCATAAAGTCTATACCACATGAGTATATTGACAAAAGCTAGTGTAACCCGATATTAGAATATTAAGAGTGTTCTTAACAAAGTGGTCAGTCTGTATGTAATAATCAAGCAACAATGATTTCTGTTTGTCGTAAGAAAGCATTTTGCTTAATTAGCCTTCCCTCCCACACCAAAAAAAAAAAATATTGTACGCAATTTTTCTTTTATTTTTAAAATTACGATTTTCAACACGAAATAAACGAGGAACATAGCTTATTATTCTATTCCTCTTTTGTCATTTGTTAAACCTATTTCGAGTGATCCTTGATGAGTAACTCTAAAAAACGCAAATTGAGAAGTACGAGTAGGCCTCTCTAATAGTGGTCTGTAAGTAAAATGTCTTATAGTAAGAGTCGTGTCTACTCACCACAGTGAATCCACATTTATGTAGAGAATGGAAGAATATATATTAATGCAAGTAACGTATTCTCTTGACTTATTCAGCGGAAAAATGATTAATATATATTTTCCCTCTCACCACCTCAATTATGAATGTCAGTGCGAAACGTGAAGCCTAATCTTTTAATTTGCCACTTGTTTCTGACTTAAATCGACTTCGAAGATTTCCACCCCTCTTCGGTGAATCTTACAGATTTGGTTTTACGTTCTGTTCTTTCGCGAAGTTCATAATTTTGGTGATGAAAAACAAATATTATTTAAACAACTTTTCTACTGATTAAGCTAGAATAATATATTAGTAGCAGTAATGCTGGTTATTATTAAAGTACTTATATAAATATGGGTCTACTGTGGTGGGTACAGGACAACTGAAACACCGTTTATAAGATCGTCTGCTTTGTTATTTACAAATATACTTATTCCAGCCTGCAGACTCGACGTCATCTTCCTGTACATCTTTTCCAGTATGTTGATGACCTGCGTTTCCGGTTGCTTGCCCTACTACAATGAAAAAATTTAAAAATAGTCTGTGATAAACACTTTACTCAGAAGCTTTACCTTTTGACTCTTCATATCCAAGCCAAACGAAGAAAGTTAACAATAACTTACTTGGGATTGAATCTACTTCTTCTTCTCTACACTAACAGGACTTTTGACCATCCTTGCGTTACAGATGGAAACACAAGGATGGCTGTCTGCTTCTTTGGCCTTTTACATTGAATTAAGATTGAAAGTTATATTATTCGAGTGGTCTTTGGTCTATTTCCCAATCATGCAAATCAATTGTATGACTAAATCACCTTTCCTCTTGTTACTAGTTATCTGAAGGATCTTCGCTTTAAATACATCCATTACAGTTTCCAGAATAATAAGATAATCCTTGGGGATTTGCTAGGTACTCGGCTTAATCCAACACGGAAACTCATTCCACCAGCCGAACGTTTACAGAACGTGTATGCGATGTCTCTTCAACCTGAATGAACATCTCAATTGTGCCTGAACGTTATTAACGATCAGAAAGTCTATACCACATTGAGACTATTACCATAATAAAACCCAAGTATTAGTAATTTGTGCTATTTGAATTCATTGCTGCATCGTTTTGCAGAATAATATATTTCATAATTTGTTATACTTACAAATTATGCTTTATTATTAATTATGGGCTGGAATAGAGGAAAAATAATGTTCAATGTTATTGATAAAGGTAGTTTAACTATAATATTTCCAATTACACCTAGGGTTAGAGGTTAAACAACAGTGTAGTTTCAATGTATAGCGTTCAACGAACTTTAATTTTATATTGGATATAACTGTTTTTATTAATCTGATTTCAGACTTCGTATGAAAGAAAAAATGATGACATCACAAGTTTGCATGAATTACGAAGAGGAAAATGAAGATGACCCAGAATTAGTCGGTCGTGAACTGGGTTTATCCAAAAAACGACCTGTAGTTAAAGGGCCTAAAGAAACCAACACCCACAGCCGATGGCTTTCTCAGATTCCTGGTCTATCCTGGGAGGTTGAATAGCCAACCAAAAACCTTTAACAACACGAAAACTCTTTTAAACTTCAGAGAGACGCGTGAGAAAAAGTGCAATGGTGTGATATGTAGTGATGACGTCATACTGTTATGTATCCTCATTCGATGTTTAGATGCAATGAAAATATACTAGACGATGAACTTTAGTCATTAAAAAACATACATTAAACTCTTGCTATCTAAGTTAAACCTAACGAAAGGCTTAAATAGTAAGATACAAAAGTGTTTAAACTTTAATTCATAATTTATTAACCTAATAGTTTTGCACATGATTTGCAACTGAAAAGTTTTGCTCTGTGGAATTTGGAAAATTGTCTGCTTTAAGATATATGTATTTGTAAACGTTAAAATTAGGCAACAGTTACAGAAACATTTAGTCCACAATTTCTTAGTAGCAATATAAACTTTTATTCAATTATTGTGCTCTTAGATAAGTATCATAATTCAAAAACTATGTTCAAATTTGGACTAAAACTACTGACAAATATTATTGCTAAAATAGAAATTGTCCTGAAATTTAACAGTTCAGCAAGGACACTTGTACTACTTAAATTCATTCTCTTTTATTTTAGAGGGTGGTAATGGTGTTGCTATTAGTTTGCGTGACGGACTGGGATCCGAGTGTTCCTAGTTCGCTTCCTAGTGTCGAAAAGCAAAATCACGCTCTACACTTTGGTCATATGATAAGAATGCCAGTCATATCGCACTATTCGATTAGACTAGTCCATGAACTGGCGATACGTGCTGTTCAATTCAGAATTGGGGAAGGCAAGCGCAGGTATCCCTTGTGTAGCTTTGCACGAATATCCGAAACAATAAGAAGAATAAGAAAATGAAAAACACATACATGATTTGGGCTTTAGATACTTTAGTACATACCAGCATTTGGTTGGTGTATTTCTCTTGGCTGTCCTGCAGAGTTTAGATATATTCCGCGTCATTTAAAGTTTAGAAAAAAAAAAGACCGCTATTCTGAAACATAATGTGTTTGTTTGAAGTTCAGCACAAAGCTACACAATGAGCTATCTGTGCTCTGAAATATGAAACATTATATAATTGTGTTTTTTACAATGTTTCTATCGCTGATTACTGACTAAGAATACGAAAAACATGAAAGTGTTTACAGACAAAAGTTGTTATTTCTGGGTTATTTGTTTAAGAAATTCCAATTATACTACACTATCTTACAGCTTCTACCCTGTTTTGTTTTGTGAGGGGGGCCATTTGAGAAATAGGGGAAAGAGCAAATGGATTTTTTATGATAAGCACGCAATATTTCTTGAAATATATAATGAACTATTGGTTGTTTATATATAAAACATTGTCAATTTTGTGATTTTTTGGTGTATTTCTAAAGATATATTACTAATAATTGTTAATAGTTCTGTCAACTAGAGTTTGTTAAATATTAAATTACTGAAGCGTGTATATTCAAAAAATAAAATAGGATTAAACAATCTTAAAGATTTCACTAAACTAATAATGTACTTTTCAGTATAATCCCTTCCTAAACGAAACTTTAATGAAGATTATTCGTTGATCAAAGGTTCATATGCTTCTTCATTGTTAAGCGCACAGCTACACAATGGATATCTGTGCTCTGCCCACTACGGTTACCAAAAATCTAATATTTTTTAACGTTATAAACCCTAAGACTTACGGCTTTATGGAAATAGTTATAAAAAATTGTAGAGATATTAATGATGCTAATATAACAAGTTTAACTCTTTCACTGCAATGTTTATAGATATAAGCTCTTCCAGGAACAGGTTTATTTCTGGATTCGCAATAGAAAAATCAAAAATAAACATCCTTTGATATTTCGTTACTTACCTGAAACTTGAAACCGGTAAACTTTGAGGCATGAAGGGGAATACCCTTCCTACATAGTGGTACAAACCCCCGTGGTAATACTGTAGAAGAGGGCATACATGCTACCTCGACTATTTAGTTGTTATGTGTCTTAGTAAGAACAACATCTTAAATAACAAAACATCGTACGGTAAATAGTAGCGTTGGTACTGAGTTGAACATCTTAACATTTCAATACATTCAACGTGAGAGATAGGGTTCACAGTTGTCATCGGTTGTATTAAGATTCAGAACAATATATTTTGTGTATCTTTTCAAACTCTTTTTTTTTTTTTCATTTAACTAGCTAGCAAATTAATCCTAAAATGGAAATTTATTTCTTCTATCATCGACGTTGAGTTTCGGTTGTAATAATATAATTTTGAAATATGAAAGATGCCTTCGCATTAAAACTAACCTTAACTGAGTTTCAAAAATATTATTAATATCCAATATTTAGCTTATCTATTAAGAATCAGTATGTTTAGTTTGTAGCTATATACCTATTGTTAGTATTGCGTAATGAAAAAAAAATATATGATTTATTTGCTATGTATCTAGCTTTAGTATTAATGAAGATTTTGCCCAAGAGCGGTATGTCTGCGGACTTACAACGCTAGAAACCGGGTTTCGATAGCCATAGTGGGCAGAGCACAGATAACCCATTGTGTAGCTTTGTGCTTAATTACAAACAAACAAAGCGTAATAACAAAACAAACTGATAGAGATTTACTTGTTTAGCTCATAATTCTATTTTTTATTTGTAGTAAAGCGTAAAAAAGAAAACTTATTACTAGTTACACTTGTTCATCTATTGCTAAAAATTACATACGTATTTACGGGATATAATATAGCGAACATTTTGTATAGTTACATACACTAGATTTCAACCTCAGCTTAAAATATTTGTAAGTCATCAAAAATCTAAATTGTCTGTTTGTTTCAGAGCAAAGCCACATTGTGCTATCTGCTGTATCCACCGCGGGGAATCGAACCCCAGATTTTAGCGTTATAAATCCGTAAAATTACCGTTGTTCCACCGGGGGACAAAGTTTAAAATATGCAAACCAAATTCTTCGTTCAAAATAGTTTTGTGAAAAATTACGAGAACCAAACGAAACTTCGTGTTAATATAAAGTAAAGATAATAACTTTCCGAATTGGGTCGAGTAGTAAAGGAATATCATCGTTTGGTCACAGCAAAGTATTTGTAGAATACTGTTTGTTCTGTAAATAATTCATATGAAAAAGACAATCAGCAATTAATGAAAACTAGTAATATATTGATATAAAATTAATATAATATATAACGTAATTAATTATTAAAGTGAGATGACGACTTTTACTACTTTCAGTACTGTAGATCCATTAAACTCGTCTGGTGATTATATAACAATTAAAAGCCATTAAGAAGCAAGCCGTTTGTGAGAACTTAAATCGGAAATCTTTTCATCAGTCATTAAAATTGTTCTTCACCTGTCTATAAGTGTTATGATTTAGTAGATCTAATTGTCTGTTTAACCATCAGGAAGCGTCATCTTTTATAATTTTAATATTATTTTAAAACATAAAACTATATACAGTTATTAATTCTTTTCCCCATATTGGATATAAAGCATCTTCTGGGCATAGGTATAATCGCAAGAGAAAAATAGAAACAAAAAATATAAAAGCAATTGTGTTTCGCAAGACAGAGAAAGTGTATGGGCAAAAATGAACATTTAATATATTTTGTCTTCAAAATAATATTTGAAATGTAATTATTTATAAATTAAAACTTCGTATAAGTGCTCTAGTTAAAGGTGTTAAGTTGTCGTAATACAAATGAGCACCAACATTTGATTTATTTAACAAAACACATAAAATATTGAATAGTGTTCATATATTGTTTGACAGTGTGTAATGTAATTAAATACTACTGAAATTTAAAATGAGATATTTCCTTGCTACTACATAGAATTTCATGTTAAAATTAATGCATTTGAAAATTTCACTATGCATGATCCCCATCAATATCTTTAGACGGATGACACTTTTCCTTTTAAACTAATTTATTATGTATTTATATGTACCCAAAGACGTTTAGTACAGGTTCTCCTCCCTCCAATTATGGAGTCCTACCGAGGCACGTTGTCAGTGTGCAGTTCAAGTAGCGTTGCTCTACTTCTACTTTGTATCTTAGTATTCATTACTGTGTATCAATTTTGTATATTACAATGATTATTTTTAATACTAGATACCCAATGTAAATACGATGATTTTAACACTATTACTTCCACTACTATTTTACACTTGGGAAGTTTGGCACCGGTCTTGGCACTGTCTATCTTCCCTCCAATATTCTCCTCAAGGTTCTAATAATAATAATACTGAATTCAATTTGATTTAAGCGGCATCTATCCTTCCCACATTCTTTAGCGCTCATTTCACTTCCATACAGCCATTCTCAGTCTTTCAGTTGACCAGTGTGACCTCTCTTCCATCTCTCCCTGTTCCAGCAGTTTATATGCATTTGGTTGCACTCTGAACTATAAATGATAAAGTATACATAAATTAATAACGCAAACATACACCACATTGTCTTTCGTAAATTACAACATGGTCCACAAAATTGTATAGAAATGTTTTTTTTTTAGGCAGATAATGGTCTCATATCTAATTACACTTGAAATAATGTTTTAAAATAGTATTTAAGTCTTCTTGCATAAACTATTACATAAATACGTTAAACATAAACGACAGGAAAAGCACTTGAGAAGCTCACTTTTTTCGTTTGTGGCTACACATATATTTTATAAACTTCAAGATCATTTTATCCCCTGGTGGTTCAAAGGTATGTTTGAGGGTTTATAATAATGGAATTCAGGGTTCGATACCTACCGCTTTGTGCTATAATAAACCAATAATAGTAAAAACTTCGAAAAATAGACAGCAATACTACGAAAAGAAACCTTGAAAAAGTAAAGTTATTCGTCTGTACAAATTTCATGTTTATTATTGCCTTAATTACCGCTCTCGTAGTGTCAATACTGGCGAACCAGTTAAACGGAATCTTTAACAATTACTTATGTGCCTCATTTTTAACTTTGCTACTAGCTTTTAAATAAGTTATTGACCTTCAACCTTACATTTTTTAGT